TCTATGTGCATGCTTCAAGGATTCCAGAAATTTGTGGGTGGCCAACCTGGCTAGAAAAAATGCCCTCAAGGAAAGACCTCATATGGGAGAAACAAAAAAAAACAAAAAATTGGAAAGGATTAGCAGAGCGTAGTGAGATGCTTGGTCCGTACCAAAAGCCTATAAGCCGATTGAAATGGACAACCTTTTGAGGCAGCATTAAGCAAGTTCAGCACGTCGGGGAGACATCCGTCGTGACAGGTGTGAGAATCGGCCCGCCATCACCGTGAAAGGACGCGGGAACAGGTTTTTTTCTTGGCGTGTTTGCGTTTGCACGTGTGCCCCGGTGTGTGGGTGAACTGGCGACGCTCGTGCGAGCTGGGGCAGGGGACGTTTTCGAGAAGAGAAGAAGACGAGGACAGCACGTGGTGTAACCTTTTAGGAGACATTCGAAAATGAGCTTCGCTTGTAAATAGACGTGTTTTTTTTCTTCCCCCTATCCGCGGAGTCCTGTCGTTCACTCTTCCGTCAGCGACCATCAGCTGCCTCCGTCGTCGGGTCCCGGCGCAATCTCGAAAAAAGAACATCTTAACTGGCGCAGTCGACAGGATTGCGTCAGCGGACCCCGGCGGCGTGATCTTCACAACGGAATCGGCGGACAGCGACTTGACGCGGCACTGGTGGAGCCTTCTAAAGAGAAGACTGGACCGCCGAGCTACTTCGTGGTGACAGAGCTACCTCGGACCAGATGCCGTCCCACTCCAGCGAGGAACGCCCGAGTCTACAGCTCGGACATCATTTTCGTGCCTGACTATTCTGAGCAGCGGCCTCCGTCTGTGATCCAGCGGCAGTCGTTGACCTTACGGTAAGGTGATTCTTCGACGTGTGCCAGCCATGGATACAGACAGTGCAGAGCGGCGAATGCCGGTTCTAACGCCCGAGCAGAATAGGGGTCAGAATAGGAATGTTGACGGGCCAGGTGAATCGTCACCTTCGAGTGGATTAGGGGCAAACTCGCAGACACAAGGGGAGGGGAACGGAGGATTCCGATCAGACAACTTAATTGAAAAGGAGATAGAACTAGTGAGGGAGAAAGAACGGCTGTTACGCCTCGAGCTGGAACTAGAACATCTACGCTCAGAAAACCGAAGGCGAGCCAGTGGAGGCGGCATGGAGTTCAACCTCCGAGATGAAGTTTTTCGCTTCTCGAGATTGATGAAGGGAGTGCTGACTCCCATGCCGTCGTCCGACATATTAGTGCCGAGCTGGTTTGATGGCGTAGAAAACGTCTTCGAGACATATGAAGTCCCTGAGCGGCTCAGAGGATATCTTGTACGACCTTATTTCACAAGCATGCGTGCACTAGTGAATAGGGTGAACACGGGTGAGAGAAGTGGGTATGGTGCGGTCAAAGTACGGGTCTTGTTAGAGCTCGGAGTGTCGCGAGCTGAGGTCTCGAGGCCCTCTATTGAAACCACCGCTTCTCTCAAGGAAAAACACGAGAACCCAAGGCAGGGCATTATACCTGAATATTATCGGGTGAAGTGTTTTAAATGCAAGGAATTGGGGCACCTTTCCCGCGAATGTCCCCGGACGAAGACACCAGACGAAGAACTTCTGTTTCAAAAGCAAAAAGTAGACGCCAAGAAAGTCAAAGTGGAGGAAGATTGCAGCCGTGAGCCCGACAAGGTGACGACCGTGGTGGGCAAGACCGGTGGTAACAACTTGGACCACCAAGGTCAGAAGAGGTGGGACCCATCGATCCGCGAGGCGCCTCAGATTCTGTTACAGGCCGACGACACGGGGCGGTCGTCGAAGAACAATCGCGGCTGCGTGTCTGTGCAGGCGGACGTTGACGGCAGAAATGAGCTGAACGTCTCGCGTGCCTGGAGGACGTCCCAGCGAGCCGAGGATGACCACGACGAGCAGGTGAACGTCGACGACGAAAGGCCGTGCACTTGGCCTGGGCGGCAGGCGTCCCGACAATCTGAGGACGACCCATGTGTGAACTTCGACAACGTCGAGGCCGGTCCCGACATCTTACCTGGGTTGCACAAGTTCTGGCAAGCCAATGACGACCAAGTTGAGAACATGGGCGTCGGTTGCACGGAAGAACGTAGAGTATCTCCTGGGAGGTGGGCGTTCCGGCAAGCCGAGGACGACGACGGCGAGAACGTGGACGACGGCGAAGGACAGAGCTTATCGCCTCGGCGGACGGCGTTTCGGCGACCCGAGGACGACGATGGCGAGAACGTGGATGACGACGGAGGACCGAGCTTATTGCCTGGGCGGCAGGCGTTTCTTCGAGCGGAGGATGATCACGACGAGAACGTGAACGTCGTCGACGAGAAAGAACCGAATATCTTGCTTTGGCGGCAGACGTTCTGGCAAGCTGATAGTGACCCCGGCAGGGAAGTGGGTGTCGACAAGAAGTCGGACATCTTGTTAGGGTGGCTAACGTCACAGCCGGCCGGTGAAGATGTCAGGGAAAGCGGGGACAGCGACGAGGACACCGTCTTTGAGATGAATATGTCCCAGAATATAGCTAGGGGCGCCCATGAAGACTCGACCACCTGCCAGCCGGCCACGTATGAGAGAGCTGGGAGTGCAGAAGACGTCGACAACGGCGACCGCCTGCGAGGCCCCTTTCTGATTCGTAACTCAAGACAGAGTATAAACTGTCGTCGCTCTTGAGCGGAGAAATTCCGGTACCAGCTACACACCGTCCGATTCAAGCCCCGCCGAAATCTGGGTGGCTTGAATAACCTGTCGACAAAGAGGCCTAGGCTAGGAGGCTAGATGCTGCGCTAGTCTAGGCGCGAGATTTGTCACTGCTTTGGAGCCTTGGCGGGCACAGTAAGAATCACTTTACTGGCGTGTGATTTGCATTTTGGTGTAAATTTTTTTTTGATTGTTTGGATTCTGACGGGTTGAGTCACAAACTCTGTGTAAGGTGTGTCTGATATGCGTACGCATTTGAGTTTAGTTGTTATATATTATTTTTGACATTTTGGGTCTAAAAAATATACTTAGTCGGGAAGTGTGAGAATCGGCCCGCCATCACCGTGAAAGGACGCGGGAACAGGTTTTTTTCTTGGCGTGTTTACGTTTGCACGTGTGCCCCGGTGTGTGGGTGAACTGGCGACGCTCGTGCGAGCTGGGGCAGGGGACGTTTTCGAGAAGAGAAGAAGACGAGGACAGCACGTGGTGTAACCTTTTAGGAGACATTCGAAAATGAGCTTCGCTTGTAAATAGACGTGTTTTTTTTCTTCCCCCTATCCGCAGAGTCCTGTCGTTCACTCTTCCGTCAGCGACCATCAGCTGCCTCCGTCGTCGGGTCCCGGTGCAATCTCGAAAAAAGAACATCTTTACTACAGGCTCTTGGGAGGAACCAGACACCTGAAGACTGTGTTTCTTGCCTTTGGAAGTTTCACACTAAGCACTCTTGTATCGCCGAAGCAGAAGATGCACACCAACAACCTCTGGGTTTTCTAAGATTGGAGCGAGGCAATGTCTTAAAGAAAAAGAAAAGCAGGACCAAAAGCCACTTTTGTGCATCCTGAATGAAAGAGACCAGCAGGTCTCCAACAAATCGCCTGGGAAGGAAACTTGTGCGTAAAGAAAGAACTAATGCAGTTTGTTTTTGTTTTGCTTTTCAGGCCTTTCTCTAGAATCGAGTAAAGTTAATCTGGGGCAAGTATTATACCCTAGAAATTCTTTGAAACCGTCCTCTAAGCTCGTTTCTGGCAGCAGACAATTATGCCTTATTCAGCGAGACTGAAAAATTTACTGACTATGAATGGGCACTTGACTCTGGTACACCTTGCGTGAACTATAGTAGTCACTAGTTTATCTGTCATCAGATTATCACCATTGCTGGACACGACACCGCGGGCCTCCAAAGTATGGGCTCAGGAGAGCGGCACCACCTTTCTGAGGTGGTGCTGCTCTCCTGAGCAAATAAAGGTTATTATAATTATTGGCTGTGGATAGGGTTCCGTACAGACGGAACGATAGTCAGCAGTAGAGTTCTCTCCATCGTCCTGCGACGTTTCGTAGACAATGTATATGCTCTTTACAGTGATAGTTCTAAGAAAAAAAAAAACATGTTGTAAATATCGCCATATATTTAACAAACAAAAAAAAGTATGCCTATCACCCTTCGGGTTTGATCCTGGGTCTGCTGCGAATGAAGGGGCCAAGTTACCACGGAGCTATGCCACAGCTTTGGCAATCAGTCTTCACAATTTGTCTTATATACATTGTTTTTTTTTTTTAAATGCGTAATTAACTCTTGAAGCTGCCAAAAGCTAGAGCGCAATTCCAGCTGTTTGTTTTTACAGCAGTCTAGCCTCCCCCCCTCCTTCTCTTTCTCGCTCTCTCTCTGCTGGGCCCTCAAGACGGAACCAACGAGACTCCACAGGGGGCTTGCTCTTGTTCCGCCTGGACGGAACTCTACTGTGCCACTGCCTGCTATCGTTCTCTCCGAACAGAACTCTGCTGCGTCTGGTATTGTTCTGTCAGGAAGGAAGTCTAGACACTCCGATAATTATTATTACTATCTGCGCACCTGAAGTTCAGCAGAAGTGACTGTGCACGCCTACACTTCTGGAACCAATGCATGCCGGCTCTGAAAATCGTTTCCAACGTCTTTGTTTTTGTCCTGCCTGTCTGTGCACGTAGCCATTTGGCTGCGTGTTTTGCTCTTGCTTTCAGGCTTTGCACGACAGTATGTGGGGAGCCTCCAAGTAAAATCTGACAGGAAATTTGTAGAAATGGGAGGAAATTAGCAAACTTCGTTGACCAACAGGGGCGACATCAACAACGTAAAGGCTTGTCGACGCAATAGCTTGACCCAGATGTCATCCGAGACAACTGCAATTGGAATGCTGCGAGAGTGACACTAGAGCGCATAGAGACTACGATCAAGACAAGGATCTATCCCGCAAAACATGATGATTATTTCGTGTCTTGGCACGTCGAGTCACCGGCGGTTAAAAGAGAAATCCTAAACTTCTTACCAGTATGTCTTCGACCATGGGGATTGTAAGAACCCTTTTGTTCACTAACCGCGGAGCGAGGACATTGAAGTCGATTATGGGCACAAGACGAGCGATTATGTCAGGGTCCTTCAGCTTTCTCTTGTGTTCTGGGTCCATTTCGGACACTAAATGAACGCAGCAAAACTTGACGCCCTGCAATGAGTAGCGATCGTTCAAAGCGAGTTGCTCTTGCTTACGCAACTATAACAATCAGTGTTGCCAACTCAACAATTGAAAACCCGCAGTCGGAATCCCGAAAACCGCTAAAAAACCGCTAAATTCAAAACACAGCGTAAAACGATTTTTTATACTTTTTTTCCTTTTTGCTTTAATTCTTGACAGAGTTATAATAACAGTAAAGATCATATCAATGCCATCTGAAAGGAAGCTTTCCTTTTGTTTTGACTAGAAATCTGTCGCGCCACGCCACAGTTCACCCAGGTCACTGATCTCTACCCAGGTCACCATACGAACATGGCAAGGGAACACTCCGTGCGGGAACTATAGGGGGCGCTTTGAAAAACGCGCGTAGCGCCGCTAGCGGAGGAGCTGGCGTTCGACAGTGAGGCGCGTTCAGCAGCCTGCGGCGCCTTTTCGCATGCGAAGCTGTGGCGGCGGAAGCGCGCACGGACGAAACTTTTGCTTTTTGAGCCGATACGTTGAGGGTGACGTTGCATGAGTGCTGGGGCAGACCTAAGAAGGGCATCTAGCTGTTCTCCACTTCTTATATATGGAGTTTGAGTCGTTATTAGGGGTGATTTCTCTAGTTGCGGCCGAAAAAGGGGTTAGAGCAATTTTACGAAAAGCAAGACGGCCGCCACCATAATTGCTCTGAGTGGGAAATTTGTTTGGCTCGTCGCTGTAAACGGAACTGCTGAAACGATGATATTTGGAGGCGAGTGAGATGTTCACTAAGTTTGTGCACTAAGTGTGCCAAGTTTCAGTAAGACAGCACGTGTGGAAGTTATGTTTCTAACGAATAAAGAAATAAAGCTGTACATCCCGTACAATATTGGACCCAAAATGTTGTGTTATAACCGGGCTGTGCGAAGTTCAGATTTGGGCACACAGGTGCTTGGACTTGACAGTAACATGATACGGCACTTATTATACCAAAAATAGGTGGCATAGGGAAACCAGGTGGAAATTTGGTTTGGGCGGTGTAACCCAGTGGTAACCGGTTTTGACCATGAAAGGGCTGTCAAGAGCCTACCACTCGTCGTGTGAGGCGGAGACTTTACAGGTAGGAAGGGACTGGTGGACTGTACTTCCGATTGAAACAACTTTATGAAAGGTGGTTCTAAAGCCGAGAAAACAAAGTTGTCGGCCAACACACGGTTTAGCCGCCAAAGGCTTTTGCGGTCAGCTGTTGTGTAATAACCTGTTGCGCGAGGTGCTGACTTTGAGCACACAGGTACTTTGTCATGACCGTAACTTGACACAACACTTATTATACCAAAAAGAGGTGGGATAGTGAAACCAAGTGGAAATTTAGTTTGGGCGGCGTAACTAAATGGGAACCAGTTTTGACCGTCAAAGGCTGTCAAGATAATACCACTCATCGTGGGAGGTGCACACTTTACAGGTATAGAAAGGGACAAGTGGGCGATACTTCCAGTTCGAACAACTTTGTGATAGGTGGCTCTAAAGCCGAGAAAAAAATCGTTGTCTACAGAACTCGGGGTGTCAGTGTTTCCACATTCAAAAGGAGGCTGATCAAAAAAGAAAGCACACCACATAAACTTCCATACTCAATCGTCGATTCTCCAGTGATTCCGAGTTTCATTGTAGTTTTCCTTAGAATCATATTTGTCACTTTTTTTTTTTTTTTTTACCGTTCGAATCTTTCTACATGAAGTACAGATTGCGTGCCATACTTGTCCAGAAATATCATCGACACGTACGATGGGCACGAAACTCCTTTGGAGGGCATTCCTCCAACGAAATTGGCACTGCATACCCGCGAGTCTGGGATGGCATTTCAGTTCGTCCCATCGGCGCTAACACATATAGACGTCACTGGTACGAAAACAAACGCAGAGCGTAAAGCGGCAGTGTAGAATATGTCAGCCGTGCCGACACAGTGGCAGATATGATCGGAAGACTGAATTTCTCGCGTAGTACGGCACGGGTCCATCGTTGTCGCTGTCCCACAAAACATCAGCGAGGTGAAAAACTGTGAAACGTCCCCACGAGATACGACGCATAACTATTGAAGTACTTAACGACGCAGCACCGGCAGCACTTCATGCTGTGAACCCAGCGCAACAGCACCGCTTCGACTTCAATGCGTACCAACGTACGTGGCGTGGTTTCGGTTTCGTTTTCTCTGGGGTTCTCAATGCCTACCTTCGGTAATGGCCGCGCGGCGGCGCGCCAGTCGCGTCGCACGGAGTTCATTCCCACTGGAAGCGGATCCGCGTTCGCAAAGCGGTTGCGGACGCGGTTGTATAAAGATCCAGTGCAATTGCACGCGTACTTGATGTCATCGAGTGCGCGTGCAATTGTACTCGATCTTTATATAACCGCGCTCGCAACCGCTTTGCGAACGCGGATCCGCTTCCAGTGTGAATGAGCGGTAAGACCCATTCAACTCGTAGAGTCGTCTGCTACCAGAGGAGAAAGGTGCAGCGGCCGAAACATGCTTCTTCGTTGCAGCGTGCGCGACCAAATCCACACTCTTCGCAGATAGTTCTGTTTCGAAATAGCGACACCTGGCTCGTCTGCTATCACCAGGAACCTCTAGTCGTTTCTAAACTTTTGAGCGTACTCGACTTAATGTTTTGATGACGTCACAGGCGTTACTCTCACAAACCAGAACATTACTGAGAGTAAGCGAAGACGACTGTGGCTTATTATCATGGAGAATAGAAGGGTAGGAGAGGGCATGACGTCAGCCGCGTAGCCTCCGCAAGCCATGCTCCCTTGACACCTCGCCTCTTTCGCATTTTCCTCCTTACTCTCACCACACCACGTGACCGTAGCTAGCCTTCGTCTAGCTATGGTGTACTAGAATACACCACAACCTAGCCTTCGATCTCATAAAACCTACCGGACGGAGCGCGCGCAAGCCTGCAAGGATCCTCCTACAATCAACCATCCATCTCGCACGTGACATGTCACGCGCACCAATCGCCAGGCAGATCTGCGGTCACGCTGGGCACAAAATCGTTTAAACTTTTTATGACTAGGCTTCACCAATATTGCAACGTGCCCCCTCCTAGTACTTCTAACCTCCTTGCTTATTATCCTTATCATTATGGATATTAAAGGTGCATAGTTGACAGTAAATCGATATAACTTCTATATCGCTAAAAAACCGCCAAGGTTACATAAAACCGGCTAAAAATCCCGCCGCCCGCAAAACAATAATTTATCCCGCCAAACAAAACCAAAACCGCTAAGCTTAGCGGGAAAACCGCTAAATTGGCAACACTGATAACAATGTGTGTCCCATAGACAGATGCTTTTAAGTTCGGTGTTGGGGTGGTTAGTTGTGCCACCTGCTAGGTGTGTTAGGAACGAGTGTAATAATATTTTGTGTGCTCGATTTTGCCCACAATCCCGTCCTTCGTCCCAAAATGAACAACAACAATTTGGTCAGCAAGATAATCGGTCAGTTTTTATCGTCAGTTAAGTCGTTCAGCCGCTCAGCCCCAGGGCAGTCCGAAAGAGCAAAGTGGCCCAACACCACGCTGACCATAAATGAGGGGTCGCACTTGTATGAAACCTATACACGGCTCTGAATGAAACCCTATGATGAAACCTTCCTTTCCTGCTTTAGTGTTGTTTGAGTGCGTCATAGTTTAGCACTTCTGGCCATAACTCTAAGCTTCTGGCTGACCATTTTCTCTACCTCCTCGTACGCCACAATGATTTGAAATGAAACAAAATTGCTGTAGAAAAAATCGTTAGGGTGCAGGCGAGCTGGTGAATATTAACCATGTTGAATTAACCTGAGACTGGGGTAGAGAAGAAACATCAAAACGTAGAAGAGACAGAAAATACACAGGACGCCTCCTGTCTATCTTCTGTCTCTTCTACGTTTTGATGTCCTGTCTATTTTCTGTCTCTTCTACGTTTTGATGTTTCTTCTCTACCCCAGTCTCAGGTTAATTCAACATGGTTAAAATTGGTGTGCTTATGTTTATACAGCCGGAAATTAGTTCGCCTCAACAACCAGTACAACCGCTAGCCTTTTAACGCGCATCACGCAATAGTGATACACGACCGCACGCCGGTACGATGCTGATCCAGATCTACGCAAACGGGCAAGGGTAGGGATTGAACCACACTGACTTGCGTTGCGAGACTGGCATCTGTGCGGAAATATTTTCTGCTGCCGGGTTAAAGTTTAGAAAGAGAAAGAAAAAAAATAAGGATGTCGTTGGCCGCGCAATTAGTGCAGATATTGATTTTCTTTTACTCGGTCATTTTTTGACAACAAACTGCAAAAATGTGACACCGCCTGCCCCGGGTGAGGATCGAACTCACGACCTTCAGATTATGAGACTGACGCGCTGCCTACTGCGCTACCGAGGCGGTTGGAAGGCCCCGAGTTTGAAGATTAATTTAAAAGCACATAGTTTGTTAAATGCTTGACAGATTTTTTTTGGGCTCTGTAGTACAGGATGTCACAAATAGCGAGTTCGTTTCACACGCACCGGCACCGTTCGAGTTCTCTCCCAGAATGCATCGCACTCACAGAGTGTTGCACGGAAAACTGGACTCAAACGAACTCGCCAAATGCACCGAATGCAGAAGACTGATGCTGCCGCCATCTATGTTGTAGAAAAGGTACCGACTTCAAACCGAAACTAGCGCCTTTCTGTTCGGAATGATGCGTGGGAATGCGAGAATGCGGTCGGCTACCAACGTTTATCTACAAACGCTGGTCGCTGCAACCTGTAGTTTATAGTTGCGATGACTTCAAGCAGCTAGGCTGCCGTAGAGATAATTACAGACGGCGTAAATTTCCGCAACCAGCTGTCTACAAAGCAGCTGGTTGCGATCTTTCAATTCTTATAACCGTTTACACTGAAGAAAACTGATGATGCTGCCCGAGCAGAAGCTTGATCCGTTTCAGCATGGTATTATGCGTGAACCACTGAAAGGGTACGGCTTAAAACTAGCCTGTTGGAATATCCAGCAAAACTGGGACTTTCGATTTGGATCGTCATTATAGGTGGATTAGATATTAGCCTTGGCGTGGGCGTCG